AAGGGATGGGGCCAGGGTTGGGGGTGGGGCTGCGGGCGGTACAACCACACCAGAGGAGCTGCCGGCGCAAGGCGCTGGCTCCTGGTAGCAGCAGCCCCATCTTCTGCTCCTTTTACCACCGCAGACCGTGGATAATGATTTATATCCACAGATGCCAGGGATGATTCCAGGGATCGAGACATGAGGTCCTGGTACAACGCAACAGGGATTCTGGAGTCCTGCTGACCATGAGATCCTTGGAAAATCAGAACTTCTGTGGTACTGTGGTGATCGGTACCTTCAGGATTGGTACCAAGGAGATCAACGGTGATCTTGCCCAAGACGGTTGGTCTGCTGCAGACTGTTTGGAGACCATCAATGCTGATAGTTTAGATGCTATTACCACTTTTGCAGAGATGGTACGGTCTGCGTTCTTAACTTTGACAGGTGGTGCCACTGCTTCTCAACCTGCACCTATAGGGTCTTTAGGCTTATAGGCAGTACCTGCACCGAATAACCCATGTTTTGTCCTGTGGGTACTGAAGTGACTGATTGTGCCAGGGACCTCCTTTGGCTTAGTTTGAGGACTTGCAGCCCTCTTCTTGGAGACCTTACAAAGGGAGGCCTAGGATTTCCTCCTCACCTGATAATCCTTAGACGTCGAAGGCTTTGAGGACAGTATGCATTGCAGAGAAGATTCAGGGCTGGGTCCTAGGGTTGGACCCTTCCATAAGGAGTAGTTTCAGTTTTAACTCCTGGTTTTTTTTTCGGGATCTAGCCTTCAACTGTTGTCAGAAGGTATACTTCTTTGGAATATGAGCCTCTCTGAGGCACCAGATACAGTAGGAGTGTCCATATGTTACCTGTATTGCCTCCCTGCACGAGAGGCACCTGTTAAACCTGGGGGAGTCAGGTATGTCTGGGAGAGCTGCGGGGGGTGCGATAAAGATTTTTGTTTGTTTGTTTTGATTTCTTTTAAACAAGGGAAAAAACTAATGGGAACCCTATAAAACTGAAAAACATTGAACAGAAACTGTAAGAGTCGCTAACAAAACTGAATGTTAAGGTAAGAGAAAGCAGACTGCTATTAGCCCTCTCCGGCCAAGGGCAGTTGAGAAGGAACTGAGGGTGGTTCACGCATGCAGCGTTAATTAGCCTCAAGGCAGAAAAGGAGAGAAGCACATGTGCAGGCCTAACAACATTGCTACCAAAGAACTCCAATCATAGGTGCAGGGCACAGACACACCTAAAGTGGAGCACCACTAGAAGAAGAAGCTAAATTAACAAAGTATTCCTATATATCTTCACTGATTATGCATACAAAAATATGAAATTAAGATTTAAACCATGTTCTACATGTACTAGCAGTGCTAATTACATAGTAATAAGATAATAAATACCCACTACAATAAAAACTATTGCAGTGGAGCCTACTTACAGCTTGTTCAAGAGTAAACTTTAAAAAAAAAAGCCCACGAGTTAAACCAAAACACAAAGAAAAATACAGTGTTAACCCTTAGCATTAAATAAATATTTTGGAGAGGAATAAACCTCTTACGAGCTTGCAGAGCATCAAATGATAACAGAAAACAGAAGCCCAGTTGCAGAATTGTGTTTGTACAACCCCTGTATGTCAAATGCATACTCAATAACTTGGCATACACAATTGCATTCATAATCACAGTAATTACACACAAATAATGTATGCAAAATTTGGAAAATCTGATTTTGAAAGGTTTAAAGAATTTAACTATATATTGAAAGAGAGCAACAAAGTGGCTAAAATAATAGAGAGTTATTTTGGTGCAACACGGATGTCTGGTTTCTACTGCTGCTCAAATTTAGAAAGAGTTAACACAAACAGCAAAATCATTCAATTCAGTAATATCAACACCATCTCAATCCTTTGCAAGCATAAGGAAAAAGTAATAAAATAATCTGACATAGCAACAAATCACAGGTCTGCTAATGGCTATATTACTGTCAATAAAACGTTTTTTTCCTTTGCTGTCACAAACAAACAGAACCCCCAACACAGCTCCTTTGTTTCAAGTGCTCGGATTTCAATACAATATTCACATTATATGATATGTTAGGAATTTTTTAATGTACAACACAGAACTAGGAGTACATTTGGTTTCTGTCTAAAGTGTTGTAACCCAAAGTCAAATATATTCAAGGTTTTGCTTTAATTTGCTCTTGACAAATAAATCCTTTTTTCCTAAGTGAATGTCCCTAAGTATATCCAATTAATGGACAGGCTCCATATAACATTTCGGTTTCTCTTTTTGTTGAGAGAATATCTATATTCTATTCATTCATACTCAACTGTCTGCTTGACAAGCTGAAACATGATAAATTATTCAGATGAGGCTACTATCCATTTTGGATTAAAGTGAGGACTACTAAATGTTTTTTAAACTCATCAGCAAACTCGGCTTGCTGAATTATTATCCAAAGGATGAAAAATGAATACTATTCAATATTGGTTGGGTAGATCCTGATCAACCATGAGAAAGCTTGCTTCATTGGTTCCCTGTACAATGCTTTAACACGATAACAAATACAAATCCTACATAATGTTCATCAGTTAAATGAAAATAAATTTCCAAAAAGAATATGTTCAAAACACTTATTTTCTTTTGTTAATAACACCAGCTTTTATGAATAATGCAATTTTAGCACATAATCGGGGAGAGGTATGCAACATGGTCCTTTTTACTAAAGTCTATGATTCTGTAGTAAATGTGTTAAAGATGAAAACAATCCCACATCTCTTTATTGGTTCTTTAATTAATATATTTAATGAGAACCAGTTGGGGACATTAACTAAACCAAACCAATAAAATAGCTGAAAGGTATCTTTTTAGTATGCCTTCTTCTACAAGAATTTGTAATATCCAAATGGTGGGGAAATAGCTTGAAAGTTACAAGTTCATTAATGTTCTGATTGTAAAAATTTCTCTGTGCGCCCAATGTTATTTATTCTACACAGAAATCACAATTTCTGAGGATGCCACACGAGACCTGTGTGAAATGTTTAAATTGTAAAGTAATTGACACCTACCTGGGCTCAAGTTAAATTGAAAATTAAATTTCACTAAAACTTTGAGCAAATCTAAATTGGGTTTTTGGTTTGCATTGAATTGTGAAATGTGCAGCTTGCCTGATGTAAAAAAAAACCTGGCAATGGTTTTGACTCAGTTTTACTTTGAGATTTGAGCTAAACTGGACTCCAAACTCAAAGTGAAAACTCAGTGGGTTCAAACCCACAAACAAAGCCACTGAAAATGTTTACATAAACGCCTAAGGGGAAAAGCGATGAGATGTACACAATTTTTAAGTACGTTAGTTTCAAATGTTGAACATCCATTGCAGGTCAAGGACTATAACAGCGTTTAAAAGAGAACTGGATAAATTCATGGTGGTTAAGTCCATTAATGGCTATTAGCCAGGAT